GTGTACTTCACGGATGACATGCCTCAAGTATGTGAATTCTTCACACATCTTTGGAAATTTTAGAGTGTTTTATTCATCTCTTATTCTCGGGTTGATTTTGGTGCCAGATAAAGCCTTTGAATCACTCTCATGATTTACCACATCCGGATCGAAACGGGGAGACGTATATATGTAGCTGCATGATTTACTTGCGTCCCACTAATGGTGCAAAGCTTCTAATGAAGAAATGGAGTGAGGAACTTCAATCCCAAGCTTGGTCTGAGTCCACCCGTTTTAAAGCAAATGACCAGCCTGCTTTTAACTTGGCACTTAACAAAACAGCTCATCAAGTATGTTTTTGTTTCCTCCAAGTTCCATTTCTTCCTTATCTATTTATGAATGTTGGATTTATATATGGTTTTTCTTTTGTTTTGCAGGTGGATCTCTACTTGCTCTCGCAAGTAGCTTTCCCAACAGGAGGATTGTACTTCAGTAACGAGGCATGGGTTAAAGAGACAAAGGGGAAACATGTCATAATCCACAACAACTACATTATCGGTTACGATAACAAAATGAGACGTTTCCATGACTATGGTCTATGGCTAGTCGATGATCATGCTCTTGAGTCTCCATTAGGGAAATTACAGTAAATTCGTATCACGGAAACAATTGTTCATATCTCTCTCTTTTCTTCTTGTTGTTTGAATTTTTAAGGCTGCGTATAAAGAAAGATAGTACCACTGAGTAAACTCCTTATGTTTTTGAGGGTCCTTAAAAGGTAATATGTAAGTTTTATTATATGGCTAATTCAGTATGACTTGAGTTTGGTTAATCCAGTTGTGTAATGTTAGTAAAAACAGAGGAAAACAGGGGAAAAATATCAGATATTTTGGTGGCAGCTGGCAAATTTTGGTCTGTATGTTGTAAACAAATGAGATTCGAGATGTATTTTTTTTTTGACATCATTCAAATCATAAATACATTAGTTGACTATAATTATATGGTAACATAGATGTACAAATTACAATGACAACATGATAAGCACTAAATGACAACATGACAAGCACATGATAACAAATTAGACTTTTATTTGTTTATTGTTCCAGGATTTAGAGTTTAAATTTTAGTAAACATCACAAAAACAAAGATGCAAATTAATGATTAGTTATGTTGTCACTATCATACAACCATAAAATTAAAATATAACGATTAATTTTATAAGAGCATCGATCGTTGAGATTAACGAGAGAAGACTTTTGAGCTTTGAGAGAGAGAGAAACGTGAAAGGAGCATAGCTTTGAGATTTCAGATCCAACTTTTTTTATTCTTCTTCTTCTAAATCTCGTCGTATGGATTCTGAGGGAGTGTTAATGCCGTTGATCCACGAGCATCTTATGGTACCTTGGAATGATCTAAGGAAAGGTGATTGCTGTGGACACTTGGAAGCTATCAGTGATGGCTACTATTGTAAAACCTGCGATTTCTTTTTACACAAGAAATGTGTCCACTCACCCGAATTTATCGAACACCCATCTCACCCCGATCACACTCTTCGGCTTCAAAGTAAACCACGTCATAACTGCAGTTTATGTGGCAAGAGAAAATTGAATATATTCTATCGTTGTGACTTCGACGTGGATCTGTACTGTGCAAAGTTCCCACCACCGGAGGTTATTGACGTTTTCAAGACGCATCACCACAAGCTCTCACGCTTCTCAAGGAGCGGTCTACATTCGACTGTGATGCTAAATGTGGGAAGCTTGCTTACGGGTTTCCATACAAATGTCATGGATGTGATTTATTCTTCCATGTGGATTGCATATGGAATCCATTAGAAGTAAAACACATATCGGAGGTAAACATCTCTTACCGCTCCTTACACCCTCTTAAGCTCCTCATGGGTAGATCACCGGATTATTCTGATGGAAATTGTCGTCTTTGCGGAAGAAAGGTTGATGAATTCTTTTATCACTGTTCTTCTTGTAATTTCACCGTGGATCTACGTTGTGTTCTACATCCACCACAACAATCTCTTCTCAATTTGAAAGCTCATGATCACCAACTCACCCTTCTCCCGAGACTCATTTCTTTTACATGTAATGCTTGCGGTCTGAATGGTGATCGAAGCCCTTACATATGTGTTCAATGCGGTGGTGCTCAATAATAGTATATGTCGTCCATTTTGCAGTTTGTGTAAGATGCACTGCATTTTTCCAATCATCTTGAAGAGACATGGAGGAACCTCAGATGAATACTATTGCTCTTATGAATGCATTTTGAAGCAAGACTTCTAGCGAGTGGGGTGAAGATAGAACGTTAAAACCCAAAATGAAGCAAGATGTCTAGCGAGTGGGGTTTTCTTTTATTTCTTGTACAAGTTCATTTCCATTATAAGTTGATTTTCTCAATCCAAGTTTCAGACGTGTTCTGCCTTTCATTTTCTACAAAATCTCACCTTGAAAATGAAGAACACAATACTACCAGTCTTATATATATATGTTCATTAGGTATATTAGGTTTAAAAAAAAAGAGGTATATATACTAGGTTATATTGTGCATTAATGAAGACATATATTGCTTTTGTATTATGACTGCTTTTAGATATAGATTTATGATCAAAAGCATCTTCTTTAAATCTAGATTTATGCATAGATCTAGGTAGGTACGGTTAGGTTATATTTTGCTTCCTTTTCCATTAATCAGTGCAAAACGGCTGTTGACTTTTCAGATATTGGTTTCGTTAGAGGCTCTTGATTGATGAGATCTTTGGCCTTGTCTAATTGAGAGCCTAATTGTCAAAAGAGAAAGGAGAAATGAGTAATGATATAGCTGTTGGAATATTCTAACATTGGATGAAAATAAACGATTCAGCTGGAGCAAATAAGAGGAGACAAAGAACTACAAACAACACTAGTACTAGGCACTTTCAGTTAGTTGGATCAAGAATACTTAATTACACACAAGAACCTTCAGAAAAAGAGTGATGTTTATAGTTTTGGGGTAGTCCTTATGAAACTGGTTTCAGGTGAAAAGACATTGTGTTTTGACTAGCCACAGAGCGAAGAAAATTTGGTTATTCGCCTAAAATATGCTCTGAAAGAGAATCCGTTAAATGAAGTTATTAATAAAAGGGTGGTGAATGCAGCGAATCACATGGAGATTCAGAAAGCAGCCATTTTGGCGGTTAGGTGCACAGCAGTAAAGGCAGAGGAGTGGCCAAAAATGAAAGAAGTAGCAGCTCAATTTGAAGGTCTGAGAGCTCCAGCGAAAAAAAGGTTTGTTGGATCAGTATCCGGAATTTAAATTCAAAGGGAGTAAATGACATTTCCTTGATGAAAGCTGGAGCAGCAATCTATCTATATCTTGTGTTTTGGTTCTCTTCTTGTTTTTTTTTTTTTCTTGCTATCTTTTGGTTGTCTTTGTGATATGCTTGACTAGTATGTTGCCATGACCACTAATTAACTTGCAATAGAATCTCGTCAATTGTCTAGAGCTCTCATTTTTAAGAAAAGAGGAATATGTGACTATGTGAGACGTTCATTGATAAGGAACGTTTATTAACTTGGCGAGACAAAGGCTTTTGTACTAAGGAATAACAGACGACATGGAGAGTAACCATCTCCAAATGAGAAGCTAATAAGAATGATTAATAAAAAAGAATTTGGAACTGGTTTAGCACAAGTAGGAGTGGAGGGGATTTAAAGTATGCATGCAGGAAGCATTCAAAATTGGTTTGCATCAAGACAAAAATGAAGGACAACTCTGTTTCTTAATTGTGTTTTTTTTTTAAAACAGTATGCATTAATTTGTAAATAAATTGTTCTTTCTTTGAATATACTTTAACATTAAGCTCAGAAAAAAAAAAAAAGGTTTATTACATTATATATTAGCATCGCAGGTTAGATCAATTTTAAGTTTGGATCCATTTCAAGTTTTGAATTTTTGGTAGGAAAACTTAATTTAGTTGATTTGGGTCAATGTTTGAATTTCTTTCTTTTTCTTTCTTGTTTAAGGCAATGTTTGAATTTTTTTGATAAAAATCCAACATGAGTTCTTTTTTTTTTGGTCGTCACATGAGTTCTTTAATGTACGGGTTAAGTCATCTTAAAATCATTAATAGAGAAATTTGACCAAAAAGAATATTTGTATTGACCATTACTCCCTCCGTTCTTTGAAGTTTGATGTTCTAGTGTTTTGAGTTTGTTCCACAAAGATTGATTTTGTAGATTTTTTTTTATTTTTAATTAATCGATTTTAATAAATCGTAGATTTCAAGATGTAATGATTAACTGTTTCAGATTACTATTGGTTCATAATTTATTAAAAAATATTTAATGAAAGTAAATAATTAAACAATAATTGTTTCTTAACAAATGTGAAATCTCTAGAAAATCAATCTTCTAGGAACAGAGGGAGTATTATTTTGCATGAGAAATGGCTTCGTCATCATGGAACAACACGTAATCTTAATAAATGATTAAGAAATCATACAAACTGGGATAGGCAATTATTGATGATTTACTAATATATATTTGATTAATAAATGATTATGAAGTAATGGAGGTAGACGTTCTTAACCTGTACTCCCTCTGTTTCAAAATGTAAAACGTTTTGAGGTATTATTTTTGTTTTAAAATAAAAGTCGTTTTCAAGTTTTTATGCAAATTATACATTAAATTAATATTTTATAATTTTATTATATAAAGTATGGTTTTCAAAGTTAGTAACTCACGAGATCGTGACACGTGTCAAATTTTTCGATCTGAGATTTTGACATGTGTCAAATAAAAATTTTCCTTTTTGAAAAAAAAAGAAAGTTAAAAAAATAATTATAAAAAATTATAAATTTAAACAGTCTTAAAATGTAAAAAGCTAATTATAAGGAAATTATACATATATTTCTATAAGAGTTTTTCAATCTAGCAAACAAAAATTTTGTTTTTAAAAGATAATTATAACAAAGAAGTAATTGGTTTTACATAAATCTAGAGGGTCTTACTTTGCTAGAAATAAAATAATATTATATGTTTGTCAAAGAATTCGTAATGTGCATGGAATTATATTTATAATTATAATTATTTTATTTTTCTCTTTTGTTGGTAAATTTGTGGTTAATTGGTGATGAATCTTCTTGTTATTATAGACAATGCCAAAACCTGGAAAGAGCATGGTGGCCTCGTCAAGATGTGGATCAATAGAACCATTTCTTGCGAACTCACCGGGACAGTTCTCAAACCGAAAAGCTTTGCACGTGATCTTTGGCTTGCCTTGGAGAATCTATTTTGTGAAAACAAGGAGAATCGTGCACTCCAATTGGAAAACGAGCTTCGTGCCATCACCATTGGAGATGATCTTTCTGTGAAAGAGTACTGCCGCAAGCTGAAGACTCTCGCTGATATAATGGCTAACGTCGACTCACCAGTCTCGGATCTCATCCTCGTCATGCACTGTCTCAACGGCCTTAATGAAAAATTTGATGGCATCCACAATATCATTCGACATCGCTCATCACCATTCCCCCAATTTCAGCGATTGATGCTCCAATCAGAAGAGGATGGCCTGAAGAAACAACGACACCAATTGGTGCATTCCCTTGCATCTGCTTCCTCCCCGAACATCATCTATGTTAAAGATCAAGCGTCGCAGCATCAAAACTACAACAATCGAGGCAGCAACAAGAATCATGGATGCGTTGGCGATCGTGGCAATTGCGGACGTGGTCGCAACAACAATAACTCCGGCCAGCAGTTGTCCGGTTACTCCGGCACGCCAAACTTTGTACTCCCAGTGGAGCTATGAGCCTCCCCAATGGACGTACCCATATCCGTATTATCCATCTTCAACATCGTACCAAAACCCAGTTTGCTCATCCACCTAGGCCTAATAGCATACTCGGCCTATATGCATGCTCCTCGTCCTAAATATGAAGCCCATCTGATTCATAACTCCGCTGCTAGCTCCAACTCCATAATACTGACGGCTCTTGCTCATGCGCGTAATACCATGACACTTCGGGATCCAAATGATCCATGGGTTAGAGATACATGATTCACTGATCACATCAGTGCTCAACAAGCCAACAAGGTACTCTCATTTATGTTTTTTTTTTTAATTCGAGCATAACTCCTTCAGTGTTAATCGATAATGGATCTTTTGCTCATGTTACAAATCTGGTCATGGTGCTTTACTTTCTCGTTCCCTTCATCTTCTTCTTAAGAATGTCCTCGTTTGTCCTTGTGTCTGATAATTAATATACTGTTGAATTTGATCTTTTTGGTTTCTCTGTTAAGGATCCTTAAACCAGGCAGATTCTTCTCTGATATTACATCCCAGGGGCCACTCTACACGTTGACACAACCAAGTTCGGATTTTTGTACTAAGGATAACATGACAACCATGTGTCATGCATCCGATTTGGGTAAACATGCTCGTCTTCCATTCTTCCTGTCTTCTTCTATTGTTACTAAACTGTTTCAAATAACTCACTCCGAGTTTTGGACATCTTCCAATAGTGGTTTTAAATACTATATGTTGTTTCTGTATCATTTCTCACATTACATTTGGGTTTATCCACTTCAAAAGAAAAATGAAACCTATGGAAGATTCTAGCAGTTTTCAGCTTGCATAATTTTATGTACTACTCCATTTGTTCCTTATTAATCTAATTTTTAATTTTTCACACATATTAAACAGCATATAAAGTATTAATTATAAATGCATCACTTTTTTGATTAACAATTTTCTATAATCTTAAACCGTTAATATTCAACTAATTTCTTGAAATTCATAATTCATCATCAATAACTAATAAAAATACATAGAAAATTCAAAATTTAGCTATTTGCAACAAATTGTTTTATAGAAATTGGATTAATTACCATTAATTTTTGTAACACTTTTTCTCCAGATTAGGCTACCAATCAAGGAGTGACTTTTTAATTAATGTGTGGTTGACAAAAAAAAAACAGAGGGAGTAATGTATCTTACTAATATATTTTATTATTATTAAAATTATAAAATATTAATTAAAACTGTTAATTGATTGAAAAAATCACTAATCAGTATTTTTATAGTTTTTATTTTACCAAATACTTTTTATTCACATTTTAATTAGTACAAATTAAAACTCTTTAGAACTTTTTATTCACATTTTAATTTGTACAAATTAAAACTCTTTAGAAATTGGTACAAAATTATTACTCTCTCCTCAATCCTCTTATTGTGGCTACATATTATACAAAATCCATCTTTTCCATTTGTGATTAATTTAATACTTTTTTATTCACATTACATTTTTTAGAAATTTGTACAAAATTATTACTCTCTCCTCAATCCTCCTATTGTGGCTACATATATACAAAACCCATCTTTTCCTTTTATCATTAATTTAAGATATTAATATATGTTACTTAAAATATTTTTATTTTGAATCAGAATTGTAAAAATTTGGAAATACTTACCATTTAGGTAAATAATCAAACCATATTTATTACTTTTAGATTATACTCTTAGCAAATTAACGTATTTTAAAAATGTTAAATATGTGAAAAAAAATTTGAATATATTTTGACATGTGTCGCAATCTAGGTAAGTACTAGAAATTTGTCAAATGGTAAGCTGTCATGAGATGTATTCAACCCTATATAAGATTATTATGTTAAACCCAAACTAGATAAACCCTCACCCAAAAAAACAAAAAAAAAAACAAAAACAATAATGAACAAGATAATAATGATGATTGCTTTGGTAATGATGGGCGTGAGAGCAAAACCTGTGATGAAGGCCAACGAAGTAGACCAACGTGTCATATGTTACCTGATACAGGTCAAATTGAATCCTAAAGCCTACTCTCTCAAATAAGAGATTAATTGCAGTACTTAAGGGTCGAATTTCACAAAGTTCATTTGTTCACACAATAAGTTATAAGTCTCGAAATTATGCTAAATAAAATAATTAGAATTAAAATAAAACCGTAGCAAGCAATATTATCAGGTGAAAAGATCAATAGATTAAAGCGTCAGGTTTAGGGAAATTTTCAGGAAATAAACTAATAGTAAATCTAACAAATTAATTAAGATTATTTAACGAACCGTTCTAGAACTCAAAACACTAATAAATAGTTAACCACCTCTCGATGCGCTAACTAACTAATCTAATATCAGTAATTCCACCTCTCGATGCAAATTCCTAGATCTAGACTAGCATTAAACTCAAGTTTTATATGTTCACAAATTCTCTTAGACCAACTCTCGATGCATCTAGAAATATTTGCTCATCTAAGGTAGTTTCAGTAACAGGTGCCCTCTCGGATCAAATACCTATTATCCTATGATCAAGTTCTAGTTAGCTTCTCTAGAACTAGCATTAAGAACAACCTAGATGAAGAAATACATGGATTAATCCTAACAGGAAATCGATTTACTAGTTCATCTAAATCCCTAATGAGAATCCCTAAACCTAATAGGGAGATTACTCAGACATGATTAATGAAACAAAATACATGTTGAATAAATTGTAGAATGAGAAATTAAAAGAAGAAAATAGTTTAAAATAAATCTTTTCCCTAACAGGGTATTGAAATCTCTGGAAGTAGCTCTCTCCAATTATATTCCAAAGGGTTCAAGCTCAGAGAATTACAAAAGCCAAAGACAAGATAATGAAATAGAAAAACCCTAAAAACTATTTATAAAATCTCAAAAACGTGCATGGACTAAAATTGCAAATAGGGAAGTCTTCTGGGTAAATTCTGCGGGCTTTAAAACTCTAAATCGTCGAGACTTCTTGCTGGGCCGTGTTCTCAATATCCATATCTAGTTATTTATATTATGCAGTCTCATTCATGATTGATTGAACTTTTTAAAAGTGGATATTTTTTAATCTGCGTGCTTTTAACTAAAACATCTTATATTTTGAAACGGAAGAAGTATTATATAAACTCAACATCACTTTACAGTGTGTTGACTTTTTTTAATATATTTTTCCTCTTTCTGAACTTGTTAATTAAGAACAAAACCTCGATTTTTCAAACCTACTTTCAGTTTCCTCACCTACACCAAATAGAGCTGCAAAGTACTCCCTCCTTTTTATAATATAAAATATTTTGGAGAATTTTTTTGGTTACGTAACATAAAATATTTCCAAGTTTCTAGGTAAATTATATATTAGTTTAATATTTTATGATTATTTCTATTATACAATTTCTTTTATGATTAGTTAAACTTTTTAAAAGTGGATATTTCTTAGTTTGCGTGCTTTTAGTTAATATTTTGAAACGGATAGAATATACTATTTTAATCAACATTAGAATGCAGGATCACCAATGCCAATTGCCAAATATACTATTGTAAACCAATCATTAGAATAAAAATCATCTATATGATGTCGTATAGTTCATACATGTGACCATGTAATACATATACTTCGTGTAGCTGAGGATACAATAATATATTTAGCATGTATGACCAAGCATTCTCCAACACTTCGTGTAGCTAGCAATCTTTTTTTCTTGATAATATTTGAAATATAAATATAATCCGCACATCTTTTTTTGAATTTTATTTGGTAGTTTTTTTTCAAACCGAATTTGAACCTCACACATTGCATATTGCAATACAATTTAAGTATATATCTTTCAAATCATTATAAATCGAATTTTAATTATGCGCACTTCATCTTAATGGATAACAACTAAAGTTTTTATATCAAAAATAATGTGCATCATAATCAAATCTTTATCTTAGTTCGTATTAAAATAATTAAAAACTAACAAAACACATTTATTATTTATTATCATAAGTGTAAAGTAATGAAGAAGTTCACGATAGGTATTATATAAGTTTAATAAATTTCGTGTGTGTTACTTAAAAGTGTCACGAAGAAATTTTGACTTCTCTATTATATATGTCCCCATCTTTGAATCCGATCCAAGCTTGTGAAAGTTTCTCTGCTGCTACAACAATGGCGCAGAAGCAACAGATCTTTCACCAACAACGACCATTCTCTTCCTCTCCTCGTTCTTATTCTTCAATCTCAGTCCGTCCCATCTCTGTCCGTAGCCGCAACGGTCTCCTCCTTCTCCTTCTCGCTCTCTTCTTTCTCCTCGGTGTATTCTTACCCTGGCCAGGATCTCCCTTATTCCAGTTTCCAAACAGACTTTCTTCTTCTTCTTCTTCTCTGTCACCGTCTCGGCAGTCCAAATGGCACGACTATACCCTTGCTCAGGCCGCTAAGTTCGTGGCCAAGAACGGCACTGTGATCGTCTGCGCCGTGAGCTCACCATTCTTGCCTTTTCTCAACAACTGGTTGATTAGTGTTTCTAGACAGAAGCATCAAGAAAAAGTCCTCGTGATCGCTGAGGATTATGCTACTCTGTATAAAGTTAACGAGAAGTGGCCTGGCCATGCCGTTCTTATTCCTCCGGCCCTCGATTCTAAAACCGCATACAGTTTCGGTTCCCAGGTAACGTTTTCACCTTTGAGATATCTTTAGCTTTTCAGTTCATGAGATCTAGCTGGAAATAGCTTATATACTCGGGTTTTGTTAACCTATCGACAATGAGTAGATTGACTCTTGACTCATGTTCTTGGACCATAAGTTTGAGTAGTCCCTAAGGTTTCGGTTCTGAGATGTGTTTAGAGTACAAAAGATGGTGATGTAGTAGCAGCCATTTTTCTTTTGGATCTTGATCGAATTCGAATAATTATGTATCCCCTATTTCTGTGTGTGATGAAAACATGTTTTTACTAATTTATTTATCATATCCGATTAGGGTTTCTTCAATTTCACAGCTCGAAGGCCGCAACATCTCTTGCAAGTTTTGGAGCTAGGTTACAATGTTATGTACAACGATGTTGATATGGTTTGGTTGCAAGATCCGTTTCAGTATTTGGAGGGAAGCCATGACGTGTACTTCACGGATGACTTGCCTCAAGTATATATATGTGAATTCTTCACACATCTTTGAAAATTTTAGTGTTTTATTCATCTCTTATTCTCGGGTTGATTTTGGTGCCAGATAAAGCCTTTGAATCACTCTCATGATTTACCACATCCGGGTCGAAACGGAGAGACGTATATATGTAGCTGCATGATTTACTTGCGACCCACTAATGGTGCAAAGCTTCTAATGAAGAAATGGAGTGAGGAACTTCAATCCCAAGCTTGGTCTGAGTCCATCCGTTTTAAAGCCAATGATCAGCCTGCTTTTAACTTGGCACTTAACAAAACAGCTCATCAAGTATGTTTTTTCTTCCTCCAAGTTCCATTTCTTCAATATCCACGCATAATATTGGATTGTGATCGCTTTGGTAATTTTTACTTGTTTTGTGATCTTTTGTTCTGCAGGTGGATCTCTACTTGCTTTCTCAAGCAGCTTTCCCAACAGGAGGATTGTACTTCAAGAACAAGACATGGGTTAAAAAGACAAAGGGCAAACATGTCATAGTCCACAATAACTACATTGTCGGTTACAACAGGAAAATGAAACGTTTCCAAGAATATGGTCTTTGGCTAGTCGATGATCATGCTCTCGAGTCTCCATTAGGGAAATTACAGTAAATTCGAATCGGGGAAAAATTTATTCGTCTCTTTTTCTTTTTTTTTGATGATAAAGGTTCTTCTATTAAAATGCAAGAGTATTGGTACAAGAAGAACAACATTTATATGAGCAAAATTATTTGTCACTCTCTCGCTTCTTGTTGGTTTGAATTTTGAGAAAATTTGAGAAGTAGATACTTATAGGAGGTATATATATAATTTGAAGAGGAGACATTTTTTAAAAATAATTTGGAGAAGACATTTTTCTCTTTCTTTGCTAATAGAGCTCTCTAACAGATGAGCTTTTTGGGTGATGACATACTTGCCATTTTTTGTTGTTTTGCAAATATACTTTCCAAAAGATTGGGTCTAATGAAAACCAACCGATTATCAAACTATTTGTGCCTATTTGGGCCAACAAACAACACAGTGTACATGACATAGAAGAGGACTAATTAAACCCAAATATAACGGATAAAACACATATGAAATCATGATAAATCCATAAAATTTTAGTTAAAATGACAAAATCTATAAATATCACTTAAAAGAATGACAAATTGTAACTAATTCGAAAAACAGAAATACAAATATTTTCGTGGCAGGCAAATTTTGGTCTGTATGTAGTAAACAAATGAGATTCGAGATATATTTTTTGACATCATTCATATCATAAATACATTAGTTGACTATAATTATATGGGAACATAGATGTACAATGACAACGTGCACTACTTAAATGACTACCTGATTAATAATCGAACAAGCAAGCACATGACAGACTCAGACGATAACAAATTAGACTTTTATTTGTTTATTGTTCCTAGGCTCAAGTAAACATCACAAAAACAAAGATCCAAAGAAGTAAATCGTTCAGGTTTTGCGGGGTATAGCTGAGAAACCGGAGGCGGCTCTTAAGAAATTATTCTTGTTATTGAATTTTAGGTCTAAAAGTTCTCATATATATACATGTCCATAATGCAATAATACTAAAACTAGCTAAGAGTACGTAGAAATATGTATAATATACAAAATAGAGAAAATATATGTATTTTTTTAATATCCCTCTTCAAGTTGGAACATGTAAGTCTCAAATGTCTAACTTGTAGAGAAAAATGTCGAACTCCTTTCGTCCCAAGGCTTTTGTAAGAATGTCTGCTAACTGATTTGCCGAAGAAACGTGAGTAGTTTCAATAATGCCAGCTACGAGATCGTCTCGAACGATGTGACAATCCGATTCAAGATGTTTAGTTCGTTCATCAAAAACAGGATTGACACTAATATGTATAGCCGCTTGACAACCACATCAAATAGTCATAGATTGATCATGAGATATACCAAATTCCTTAAGAAGAGATTTGATCCACTTAAGTTCACAAATAACTTCTGCCATAGAACGATATTCAACTTCAACAAACGATCAAGAGACGGTATCTTGTTTCAGAGTCTTCCAAGAGACCAACAAAGAGCCAAGTTGAACGACATAACCTGTCAAAAACCGTAGTGTCAGTAGATGTTACGAGTAAAATTATTAATAAAAGTTTTACCCTTAATGATAATCGCAAGTGCACAGACAAACGCAATAGTATTTAGGGATCGAATCCACGAAGACCAAAGAAACACACACAAGACTTGCAAAGACTTAAACTAAGCTAGGATAATAGGTACAAGAACTCAATGAAATTTGCATAAATAAAATAAATAATAAATAATAAAATATAATATAACAAATAGAGTTTTAGAAAATTCATCAGAGAATATATGAAAGACATGTAAATTCGGTTATGATACTAAAAATTCCTAAAATAAGAACAAAATGGTGTTTTAGTGATAAAACATATGAGGGGACTACATAGCTTCATAAACCTTGGTTAAGCTTGGTTCTAAATAATCCAATCATGCAATAAGAACAAAATCCAATACATTCTACAGAACGAAATAACACAACTTTTGGTGAGGTTGGTTAAGGAACTTTGCCTAACTTATAATAGATCCATCAATTCAACACCATTTTTGGTGGCTTGAAGATAATTAGATCATGAACAATAAGTGAATTGACCTAATTCATCTAAGGTTTTAAAGACAAGAAACTAGTAAAAATCATATCAGAAATACCTACACATAGGCCTAACATATCATCGATTTATTTGGGGATTCCATCCGATTCGATAGAAGTGCAAGTCAATCTTTTTTCTACATTTTTTGGACAAGGGAAAAAAAAAGACTAGACTTTGAGTTTGACTAAGATACTACGAATACGATACATGTCTACATTCGTTTTGGGTAATTACGGAAAAGACCTTTGTCTACCTACAAAAAATCTTCGAAGTGGGTATTTCTGTCGAACAGTTGGTGTGCATAACCACTGAAACACCGATGAGAGGCGTCACACCCATAAACCCTCAGAAGAAGATAGAAGCTGATTCGAATCCCGTCAAAGAATCAGAGTAAGCTTACCTAATTAAAACTCTCTTTCGCTCTAAATCTGTTTCTGAAATTTCTGAGGATTTTGATTTCTCTGGTTCGTATTGTAGTTACTATGAAGGCGAACGTCTTACTCATCTACTCGACTTGATTCAGAGGTAAACACTCTCTAAACCCTATAAAAACCCATCTCAATTATCAACTTTTTGTTAAAAGTTCTCTCTTTTTGGTGAATTAGAGGAATTGAGACGTTCAAGCTTTCGAATGTGAACTCATTGCCTGAGAAGATATGGCTCAAGGTTACTACTCTTGCTATGGTTTCTTTCTTTTCTCAAGATTCGATTATCAACTACCATTATGATTTGTTTCAGAAACAAATCGCGATTGGGATCAACGAAGTCACTCGTGTTCTTGAGAGGATGAAATCCAACACTACTGACCAACAACAAAACCCTAGACCACCTCCGGTTCAACTTCAGGTAACAACCATACAAACTTGTAACAATCTCATTAGAAAAAATCTACTGAATTTAGAGGGAGATTGTTTTCATCACAGGTAGTGATTGTAGTAGCAGATTGTAAACCGAGGACGCTAACGAAGCATATACCCAACTTAGCGGCTTCAAGGAATGTTCCGGTTCTCTATATACGAGACAACAAACGAGCCTCTCTCAGATTAGGAGAGCTGGTTAAGCTCAAGACGGCACTAGCCATTGGTGTCAAGGCTAGAGGAAACGATCTCAACCTAATACTCCAACAGATTCTTACAAGAGATTCTTGATGCTGTAAGAGAAGGGAGTTTTCTTTGATCTTGTTTTGATGTGATCCTTTCTCAGTGTAGTAATATATACAGATAAATGACATTGACAACAATTTTAGCGATCTCGCCTATTTTCGATGTATCCATTGAGCTCTTTTTCTACAGACGAATTCCCGCTCTAGTATCCCAAAAAGATTTTACCGTTTACTGCTCTTAGGCGCTGGCAATTGAGGATGGCTCATCTGTTACACCGACTTGGTTAGGTTTCTCACTAACATTATCCATTTGTTTGCTCGGTTTCCCGTTCTGAGACTTCTTCTCTTCGTCCTTCTTTACCCGCACTGGTTGAAACTGCCACAATAACAAAGAAAAAGAATCAAAACCGGAATGAATAAATTATTGTGTGAAGTGAAGTAGAGGTTTTCAATTTAGTCAAGAACCTGATATATGGAGTATATAACATTTCTTCGTATTTGAGCCATCATTTCCAGAAATAGATTGTATCCTTCAAGCTTATACTCGATGAGTGGATCGCGTTGCGCATATCCTCTAAGCCCCACAGCTTGTTGCACAAACTTGAGTGCTTGAAGGTGTTCTTTCCATAACCGGTCAATATTGCTCAAGATTAAGAATCGTTCAGCATCTTTCATTAGCCCTGGTGATTGTTTCTCCACGATTTCCTATGAATGATATATAACAAGCTTAATCAACCACACAGCTTCTGGTATCTTATACCAATGTGAAAAAGGCTAAGAATACATCTATAACTTACTCTTTTCTGTAAGTATGCATCGCGGCCACGGGCACGTAGATAATCTTGCAACCCTTCGTAACTTGATCCTTGGCTTTTCAGCAAATCTGGAGTGAGATCGTTCAACAGGTAACAGTACCTAAGAGATTGAATTTTAAAAGTTATAAGAGCTTAAATAAACGGAAAGTGATTATCTATGTGCAATGTTTTCCCTAAAGAAGTATAATTCTTACTGCTGAACTTTCGCAATGAGCTTTTCAAAATCCCAGCTTTCTTTTGGAGTATCTGGGCCAATATTTGCCTAGTAATGGTAAAACGAGTTTCAAGTGTTGGTATAGAGAGACTCGGGGGAATAAAGAACTTCTTTAGCGGCATCAATATCAAAAGGCTTACCTCTAGAATGTCATCCATTGTCAATTCAGCATACTCGATAATCAGAGGCTCGAGGCTGTCTGACATAAGAGCACGCCTTCTCTCTGTGTAAACACGATCTCTTTGGCTATTGAGAACATCATCAAATTCGAATAACTGCTTTCTGATGTCAAAGAAGTAATTCTCAACTTTTCTCTGAGCTTCATCTAGAGCTTTGGTAAGCATCTTGGATTCGATCGGTAAGTCTTCCACCCTGAATGCCCTCATCATACCCTAAGAGTTATACGGCAACTATGTTTAGGCGATTATTTTCAAGAAGAATGAATAAATTGTAGATACATATGTCACCTGAATCCGATCTCCACCAAAAATGCGGAATATGTTATCTTCAAGACTAAGGAAGAATCGGGAACTTCCAGGATCCCCCTGCCGGCCACTTCGCCCACGCAACTGTATGAGGGTAAGAAAACATATTCAAGAAGGTTTATTTCATTGGGAAAGGAACCTGAATCAACCATAAATCTCCTTGCAACAAATATATTAAGGAAACCTGATTGTCTATTCGGCGTGATTCATGCCGCTCTGTCCCCACCACGTGAAGTCCACCAGCTTCCACAACCTGCAGCAGTTCAGGAGAATAAAAGATCAACAACAGACACTTGACTGAGATTCACATACTGCTCTGCTGTAACAGAACTAACCTTCTTCCTTTCTTCATCAGTGTAGCCCTTATATTCTTTCGCTATCGCCAGAAATGCAGTCCTCAGTTTAGCTATAACTTCATCTTGGACAGGACCCTGAGAAAAGAAGGAAAGTTCAATGACTCAGATAAAAAATCTAACATATGAAGATATACTTCCAGTATTTTTCTCAGTTGTTCACCTTTTCACAAGAATAAGATAGACGTTCCTCTGCTTCAAGCTCAGTTAACGATTTCTGGCCCCAAGCCTCTACAGCTGAATGTACAGCTTCTTCAGCTAGCTTTGCTTTCTCATTTGATAATTTGCATGGAAATAACTTCTCATTCACCTGAATCGTAAAGTTTTTCTACTTAGCTCAGTGTAACCATTAGAATCTCATGTTTTACCAAAACCAGAGACTCTGGAAAGGCCAAACCTTCCATGTTCTCTTGGGAGGGGCCTTCTTCACAGATACGAAAACACCATCACTAGGCTTTACCACTCTGAAGTAACAATCAAAATGTAACAAAACTTCAGGTAAAAAGAAACCATGAACTCCAAGGTTCTTCGTCAAACTAAGTACATAACCTGTAGCAATTTTATCAATGGTGGATAAAGGATCTTTGTTATGTGGACAAAATACTTATTAGCGAATTAGAACCATGCTTGCTCTACGATTAGTTTTATTTATATCTTAGAATGCTTCATGCATAATACCTGGGCATAAGTATCTCACGGAGCTTCAAACGTGCCATAAACTCTGCATTTCCACCAAGAATTATGTCTGTCCCACGCCCTGCCATATTTGTGGCAATTGTTACTGCCCCTAAACGGCCACTTTGTGCTACAATTTCAGCTTCCCTCTCCACATTTTCTGGTTTGGCATTGAGGACCTTTTTGTATAACATATATATATATAATATCATCTGTCAGTTTTCTTGTAAAAGGAATATAATTGTTGTCTTTACATACACCATTTGTTTAGATGCCAAATTATTTTTTGAACTAAATGCTAACGGAGCATAATTTTGGATTCATTTCTGTATAGATTACACGTCCAAGATTTTTTTAATCAAAATCACATGAAAGCCTTACCTCATGAGTTATTCCAGCTTCCCGCAATAGTTGCGATAGTTCATCACTCTGCTCGACACTGGTTGTACCAACTAGCACAGCCCTACCTGTCTTGTGCATTCTAGAGATTTCCACTACTACTGCCCGCCATTTACCATTGACTGCCTTGAAAACTACATCCGACTCATCCTGCAGGTGATTTAACAAAGTATAAGACTGGAAAAAAGAAACGATTTTTTCGAAAAGACAAAACACCAAAATTGGAAGCTAGTACAGTATACAATGTGCTTCCAGAAGGACCAGAACTAACATGGATTCTTAACACATTCCCACTTTAACAGATCTCATTAGAAGGCCTATAAGCACACATTTAGAGAGAGCAATTCCGAGGAACCACCTGAATTTTAAGGTGCAAGTTCTAAGATATGAGACAAACCTTTCTTATCATGGGCTTATTTGTGGGTACAATTGTAACTTTGAGCTTGTATATGCTCTCAAATTCTGCACTCTCGGTGGATGCAGTACCAGTCATCCCGCAAAGTTTTGGAAACTACAGGATAATAGAAATTATGCATCACAAATGCGAAATAACAATATTCCAAAAGTGGAAAGTAGGCATTTCCAACCTGCAGAAAGAAATTTTGATAACTAATTGATGCCAAAGTAATAGATTCATTCTGAATAGGCAAGCCTTCTTTTGCTTCAACTGCTTGATGTAGTCCATCACTCCAACGTCTTCCCTGAAAGAAACAACTTATTCAGTGGCTGCCTACGTATTGTTTTTCTTATGGCCTAATAATATTTCTCAGCCGTAGCCAGTGAGATCACTAAAATGACAAATAGTGATAATTATTTCTTTTTAAGATGAATTTTCATACCAATAAGCAAACAATATAATCAAGTACCTGCATCACACGACCAGTAAACTCATCCACGATAAGAACCTCCTTTGCTCGGATGATATAGTTCACATCTCTGAGAAAAAGTTCTTTTGCCTTAATGGCATTAAGAACATATGATGCCCATTGTTCACGGGGATCATACAAATCTTTCACGTCTAGGATTTCTTCTGCATCCTCATAACCCTGTTCCGTTAGTAAAACAGTCTTCTGCTTTTCATCAACCTGCAAAACGAAAAAACTCAGTGAGCAATTAGAATTTGGAAGATGGATGGCCAATTCCACTTAATAATTGCACACAACAAATGTAAGAAAACTGAGGAGTCTTACAGTGTAATGTATATCCCGCTCAAAGGCTGAAGCAATCTTTGCAGCTTTGTAATATTGGTCACTAGGTTTCTCTGCAGGCCCAGAGATAATGAGAGGAGTCCTTGCTTCATCAATAAGTATGGAATCAACTTCATCAATTACACAATAATTGAAATCCCTCAAGACGAGCTCCTCCACACTCTGTACATTCAGTAACTAACTCAGCAAAGACATTCAGAGAACATTCATATAATCCCGAACGAAAAAAGAGAAAATAAAGCAAGAATTACTTTCCGTGGCAAGATTGTCTCTCAGATAATCGAATCCAAGCTCACTGTTGGTGACATACGTGATGTCGCATAAATAATTTTCCTTTCTTTGTTCAGGTGTCATATTCTCTGTCAAAGTAACAAAATGCGCGAAGCATCTATAAAATAGTAGAACAACAACACACAACGAACAAAGAAGATGATGATCACATTGACCAAGAAGTTCAGAGAAAAGAGACGTACGTTGGATTAGACCAACCTTCAATCCAAGGAACCGAGGAACTTGACCAACCCATTCACAATCTCTTCGAGCAAGATAATCATTGACTGTAACCACATGAACACCTTTCCCACTTAATGCATTCAAATAAGCTGGTAAAATAGCAACAAGCGTTTTCCCTTCACCAGTTCTCATTTCAGCTATTTCTCCTTTATGAAGAACCATACCACCTGCACAAGTTAAACCAAATAGAGAGTCCACTCAAAAAAAGTCTTCTTAACAGTGAAACCATAAGATCACAGTCCACAGAGATTGTGTTACCAATTAATTGCACATCAAAAGGTCTTAGTCCAAGAACTCTCTTGGAAGCTTCTCTCACAACAGCAAACGCTTCCTACAATTTGAAATTCCACAATTGAATCAAAATCTTTGTGTCAAAACCAAAAACTGAAACTAAAGGATTGGAAAAATTACAGGTAAAAGTGAATCCATGGATTCTCCTTTCTGAGCCCGTTGCTTTAACGCATCAGTCCTTTCTCGCAACTCTGAATCCGAAAGAGCCGAAATCTC